AAGATCCCCAATGACGTGGATTGAGATAGTGACAATTCCACTGAGCTTGAACAAGACAGATCTAGAGAGGACAGTCAGGATAGGGCAAGGTTCAGATGTGCTGTTGTAGTCAACATGAATGACATCACCTAACAACAGTTACACTAATGTCTTCCTTCATTAAACAAATGACAATGAATCAACAATACTTCCAGCATTCACCTTCTATCTCAGACCTTGAATCCCTAGCTCTTGTGTGACATAAATATGATTTTACTATGTAAGAGTTTGGGGAAGCCCCAAATCAATTTGATAGTGAAAGCAAAGGTTGCATAGTTGCTGCTGCTTGCTGCCCTTGGAATGCAAAGTGACCCATGTTCGGCTGTTATTTGTGGGGCTCATCTTGAAAGAGACTTTAAGACAATCAAGCTGTATTTCCACTGATGTTCCTGTCAGAGTGTGTTCTGTTCTGGGCCCAGCGTGGAAGCTAATATCATAAACCATTGTTTCAGTTTGCTTCCTGTGATACGAATCTCAATCGGCAGCCCAGACCTACAGTCTGAATTTCTGAACATTGAGGTTTCCTCTCCAACATTCCCACACAGCACAGCCTACTGTGAAAATCAAAGGGAAATGTGTTTCTAAGTAAAGAAGCAACTTTTCTAAAGCAAAACCTGGCAGTTTTTAGCCTTTTGAACTCTGCGATATGCAACCAGCTATTTCCTATCAAAAAATGAGTCAATACTGGTGTTCACCTTTGTGAGAAATGCTTAGATAATGATTTTGTGGTTTGTTTTGACCTTGCCAAGCTTGACATCTGCATTTTTATAGAAATTGCTGAAAGTTAGATAAAAAGATAGCAAAACTTTACACTGGGTTTTCTTTCACATGACCTTTCTAGGATCTTAAACATGTAAATGAATTTACTGGTTAGTAACAACTTTTCCTTAGAAGCTATAATTTATCGAGAGCTCTAACATGTGGTGTGCAACAAGACAAGGCCTTTTCTATTATCTCAGTCCTCGAGCAAGATATGCCAGGTAAGTATTTACTAGGCCCTCCAGTGCAGATGAATAAGCTATGGCTCAAAAGCAATAAAGCCATTTTCACAAGTTTGCATAGAAAAAGGGCAGCCAACCTAAGATCCTGACACAGATCTACCTGGCCACAAGTCATGCACTCCTTTTCATGAAGCTACAGGTTTTGCAAAATCAAAACAAGATTGTTGTTGTTGTTAAGTGCCATCCAGTCGCAGGTGACTCATAGCAACCCTATGAAGGAGAGTCCTTGACGCTTGGGTGCCTTTCATCCTCTCTCCAAGTTCATAGGGTTTCCGGAGGCAAGCTATTATGGAAGTGGATGCCACTCCTCCTTCCAAGCTTGTTTAATCGGGGAGCTCCACCCCACTCTCAGTCCACATTGGGTAGCCAACCATTAACGCATTTGACACATCCGTGTCACAGGGTTCAGCCTCACAGCAACCACAGGCGACCGCAGGACGGCAACTTGTACACCACGGCTATATGACCTAGAGGAATGTCTGAACAAAAACAATGAAAGACTGGCCCAAGGGCCGCGAACTAAAAGTCACCCACCTTTGTCTTGGATTAGAAAAGAAGAAAAAAAAATCTGTCTCACATACAATTCCTGAAAATAATTTTTTTAAAATATTTTTGTTAGTTTTCATATAATAATTCCTTTTCTTATGTTTCATTCATATACATTGTGTTTATACAATCTTTCATTTACATTAAGAAATGCCCAGAGAACATGGGACAAAACCCAGGAAAGAAATTAAAGGAAAGGGATGTTGAAAAACTACCTTCTCCCGCCCCAGGCTCCCGTCCTTCATAAAAACTTCTTCAAGGACACCAGGCCACATGGTCAAATGCAGAAATGCTCTCTCTTTTCCCAACATCTCTTTCTTTGAGACAGAGAGGACTAGAGCTGGCATGGTGCAGACAGCGGACAGTGTGCGTCTACAATTGGCGTCAGCTCCTGAGCTCGGACATGGGACGTCCCACCTTCTGTGGCCCACTGTGGCCCTCTCCACCTGCACTTGTCCAGCACACACACACGGGCACATGTGCTCAGAGAGCCGAGCCTTCAGATCATGATCCTTTCCAAGCCAGTTTCTTAACCACTGACAAGGATGGGCAGGCTCCCATGCAGAGCTCATGGACAATAAAATCCTGTACCGAGAGAACAGAGACAGCACAGAGGATGACTCCGTTTAAGCCGGGCTCCTGCCTTCTCTTCTCCCCTTTCTCTCACTGAATCCTCACAATACGTTTGCCTGATTACACTGGCACAAAACTCCTGCCATCTCACACCTACCTTTTCCAGGGATTGACAGTCAAGGGAATGCGAATTTCAGGTACAGTTTACTACGTGCTATGTGACTTTGAATCACCTTAATGTTTCTATGCCTCATCTGTGAAGGAAGGGGAGAACCCTCTGACAGGCTCTGAGACCTCAAGCATTCTACAGGCTAAACTCCATTCAATGTGGTGCGCCAAGACTAACCGGTTACAGTGAAACCTGAAAAAAAGAAAGGCTGTGCAAGAAGGAAACTTTTCAGAGAAGGAAAACACAAACATTTTTCACTCAAACAACCGAGAAGACAAACGCAAGACTGAGCCCTGTCAAAGCCAGGCGACTTGGAAGACCTGGACCAACAAGGCAACTCTGCCACATTCCCACTTTCCCAGGCTTCCCTGCACTATCCTGGGGCTCATGCTGCCAGGACAAGGGGAATGCAGCTGGAAAGCAGCAAAGAAACTAATTTCTAAAAGTCAAATTAGATCTTGATACTGAATACAAACCTCAGTTGAGGAGATCTTTAACCTGTGTTATTCAGTAAAATTAGAAACTCATTCCTTATCCCCAAAGAAATAACGTGTAATAGTAAAATTTCAAATACCATAAACAGTAAGTAAAGGATTTATTTCTGGGTTTAGAGAATAATTCTGTCTCTAATCACCCTAAACTGGCAAGTGTCTATACTGTGTACCTGTGATGGTGATGCCAACATTATTGTCCACTGCTCTTATCTGTACAGAAAGATAAGCCAAGGCAATCAAAGAAAAGAGCACACATGTAATATAGACTAGATGGCTCCTCAGCCTTTCTTATATGCAACCATCCCGGGCTGAGGGGGGATGGTAGTCTAACTGCTCCTATCTGCACCTGATAAGGAATTGGCCATTGTGTTACATCATTTCTTTGAAAGTATTTACGGAGTTTCACTTTATCCCCGGCCCCCACTCCTGCACAACTGGACTCTTTAGACTTGTAGTACAGAGTCAGTTCTCCAACCCTTCAGCCCTCTGAGCTACCACCTGATTTTCTCAAAGTCCCCACCCCCCTGCTTTTCCTTCCTGTGCTAAAGGACCCAGAATAGCACAAGCTGGCCTGGCCTCCTGGCCTCATGCTGGAGTCCCTCTGCTCAGGGTTTCTTTCCCAGAATAGCCAGTTCATAACAGGATGGAATGAACTCGTCTCCAAGACACCAAGCCTGTTCAGGAAAACTGAAAACCAGTCACAAAGACCCTTCCCCTTCCTGGCTGCCTCCCTCACACTCACCACCTTGGACACTGCCCACCTGTAGGGGCCAGACTCGGTGGGAGGGTCATAATGCATGCCCAGTTTCCTTACAGACTAGCAGTCAGATAGAATTTTCATAGCATCTGAAATGGGCAAATTCCTCAGGTCATCTCTTTCAGGTCAAGGATAACAGGAAATGGTTTTTGAAGAGTAAGAACTCTTTCTAAGGGGAAAGAAAAAGTTTGTGAACTTGAGAGTTGCAGAAAGATGAGGGAAGATGAGAGCTATCTGGCTTTCCTGAGAAGAGCTGCACCTTGAGCTGTTAATGTCAAGGACACACCCCTGGGGAATGAGTATGCCTGGAGGCCTAGCGGGTAAGAAGCTGCATTGCCAATGGGCAGTCAATGCCTGCACGATTTACTGTCTCTGAAACCACACCGGAGGGTCAGCTATGGACTGGTTCCAATTCAATGGTACACAACCACAACAGCTAATTTTCAGACATCCTGTGATATAGGTATTTCCGGTATCCTAGTGGTAAGAAACTGTGCTATAATCTCGAAGGCACGTGGTTCAAATTTACTAGCTGCCCCATGGGAGAAGGATGAGCAGTCTCCTCCCATTTGATCAACTGCCTCTAAAAACCTGCTGAAAGGCCAGCTAAGGGTCTGTTCTGACTCAAGAGTACATGATAATAATTCATTTTTATACCTATATTATATATTATAATACTTATACATACTGTGTATAGGTATTTTAGGGAGCTTTGGTGACTTAGTAGTAAGGAATTGTGCTGTCAGCATAAAGGGAAGCAATTCAAACCCAGCTGCTCCCTGATGTTTTTTACTGCCTCTGAAAACCCACTGGAAGGTCAGCTATGAGTCAGTTCTGACTTGACAGTAAACCGCCAGCACCACCACCACAACAGATTCCATTTCAAAGATGAAGAAACTAATGTTCAGCAAGGACAAAAAAAATCGCACTGGCTAGTTGGCTAGCAAGAGGGAAGCAATTATCGGAGCACATCTTGTCTGCCATTCTGGAAAAGGTTTGAAGGGAGAAGATGGGAACCTAAAGGACTTTGAAGAATAAAAGTCCACTTGGAGAATACGCTTTAGAGCCAGATAGAAATGAGACTGAGGAGTCAGCAAGAGCTGTTCCTAGTTCTCCCAGACCTCTCGGTCCTGCCCTTGGTTTCCGGGTCCTCATTTCTTCTCTGATCCTGCTGTGGCTCTCATGCCAGCACTGTCTTCAGCATCAAGGTAACTGCTAGATAGTAGGCCTTTAACTTGAAGGAGTTATTCAAAGCATCTGTAAAGGTAAAGGTGAAGATTCTGCAGAGTGTGAGCTCCTGAGGATGAAGACTTTCTAGTGGGCCTCAAACTCCAGCATAATAGGGACCACCATGAGTGAGTAGGGACATGATGGCTAGCCAGCGTGCATAAAGATTAGAGGTTAGGGGGTGCCAGGCTCACCTGAGGACAGGAGCTTGTGTGTTCGCAGAAAGCTGATGGCCAGCCGCATGATGGAGGCCTTGTCCAGGTGGGAGCTCACGCTGTGAGGCAGGGGCAGCTCGTGGGCGAGCTCATAGAAGACCTCTGTCTCCTTACTTCGCCGGCACCTGGCGGCATCCCGGGATTTCTCCTTCCTCCTCTCTGAGCTACTCCTGAAATGGAGAAGGAAAGGTTAGGTACTGCCAATCCATTACAATGAAACTTTTGAAAGCCAGAACTCTATGAAACTGCTTTAGTTTTTTTGAGTCTCAAATGTTTTCTACCATTTGCAGGATGCAGCCTTGATACTTTTCTATCACTTCCTTTAGGTGAAAATCTTCGAATTTTCTTTCTCAAGGACATACTTTCCACAGGTAGTAGCTTTCACAGGTTTGAATCTATACCCCTGATCAAAACATCTCCATGGAATCTAGAGAATTGTGCTGAGTAAACTAACTCAGTCTCATGAGGATAAATATTGCATAAGACCATTTTGTAAAAATAGGAGGATAACTAGTAAGATGTGTATAAAAGTCCAAAAGAGGAAGGGGAAAAGGAAAGGGGTGGAAATGGAGGGGGGGGGAAACCACAAGGAGATGAGTGGGTGGGGGTAAAGGAATAGGAATAGGAAATGTCTAATGAGGACCTGAAGAGGTAGGGTAATAGCTGGCAGAGATCAATGGTGATTCATTTATAAAACACAATGTGTATGAATGATTGTGTAAAACACAATGTGAATTAAAGATTGGTGAAACACAATGTATTGGAATGAAACACAATATGTGCAGATTTTGTATGCAAATCAATATAAAATTTTAAAAAATGTGAAAAAATATCCACACAGCCCACTAAACAACGACTCAGTTAAGCTTTTCCACCAACTGGGCTCACACCAGTGCTTTGTGCCACACACTTCATGTATTCTTTGTCCCCAGACTTCCTAAATTTTTATTCTGATTGTTATGGTGATCAGATGAGGGCGTCCCATGAATGAGGCTCCAACCAAGATTTGCTTATTAAATTAATTAACTGGTGATGGCTTGGGCTTAGTCCTTGATTTTCCAGGGAACTGGGGTGCACATTCAGACTAAGAACTCAGGAGAACAATATGAAACGCTGCTTCAAGATTTTTTTTCTAGTTTTGGATTGAGTAGTTCTAGATAGAATGGGAGAAAAACATGAATCCAAACTCAAAAATCATTAAAAAAAACCCCAAAACCCAACTGATAGATGTTGGTAGAAGCCCTTAGACAATGACTTATAGTCACTCTTCAGATCTAGAGCTGAACTCACCGCTGTGGCTGGACTTTTAAAAGGTAAATAACGTACAGGCATCTAAGGGAAACATTAGAGAGTTGATAACAACCAAAAAACCTATCTTTGAGTCGATTCTGTCATACAGTGATCTTATAGGACAGATTAGGGTCTCCAAGGCTGCAATTTTTATGGAAACAGACTGCCCTATCTTATTCCTGGGAAGCTACTTAAGGTCTCATTTGCTTGATTGTTCTAAAGGTCAGGTCTACTCTGTCCTATAGGGTCATTATGAATCAATCAATTCAATGGCAAAGGGTTTTTAACTATCATTATATTAATTATATATGACTATCATAATTAGTATCATTATCATTGTTGTATTTTGATATTTGTTCTCTTGTGTATAGGAAGCATTATGTATAAAAGAGATATTTGGTTTTAGTTTGATTTCTTAGAATTTTTTTACGGGCTTTTTAATTGTGATTTTAACAAAAGTTTACAGAAAAGTTGTATTTTCATTCATTCATCATTGCCCACTTTTTCCCCTACCCACTGCAGTTCACTTAAAAAAAAATCATCCATTGTTGCATAGTTTCCTCCCTTTCTATCTCCCCCAGTCCACTTTTCTATGCACTTCTTATTCTGGACTGTTGTCATACAAATAATGTCTAATCATGTATATCTTTTAAACAGTTCTTTCCTTTATCTGTTCCAGTGCAGTGTTCATTCTTTATCCCCTCTTCTCTTAGTTTTCCCACAACCCCTATGTCAGCCCTGTTTTGTAACAGTGGTGTTATACAGTATTTATCCTTTTTTTACTAAGATATTATCCTCCAGGGCTACTCATGCTGGGTAGTATTTTAGGATTTCCTTGTTTTTCAATGCTGCATAGCATTCCATTGTGTGACTGTACTATGGCTTTTCTATCCATTTATTTATTGATGGGCACTTGTATAGCTTCCACCACTTTGCTATTGTGAATAACACAGCAATAAACATTGGTGTGCATATATCTTTTTGGGTGGAAGCTCTGGGTTTTTTTAGAGTATATGCTTAATAGTAGAACTGCTGGGTCAAATGGTATTTCTATCTCCAACTTTTTGAGAAAGTGCCATACCACCTTCCATAGTGGTTGTAGCATTTTACACTCCCATCAGCAATGAATGAGGGTTCCAATCTCTCCACAAACTCATCAGCATTCTTTCATTTGCTGCTCTGTTGAACTTTGCTATTGTTACTGGGATGAGATGATATCTCATATAGGTTTTGATTTGCATCTTATTTCCTCATGTGTTTGCCATCTCAATGTCTTCTTTGGTAAAGTGTCTATTCATACTCTGTGCCCATTTTGTGATTGGGTTGTTTACATTTTTCTTGTTTAGGTGCAGGAGTATTCTCTAAATTTTAAGGTGAATCCCTTATCAGATATGTCATTACCAAATAAACTGGATTCTAACCCTAGAACTGTATATCATCCTCTTACTTTCTCATTTGACTTATCACATTGTTTCTCTCTGGTACTAGAGTATACTGAATTTGCAATGTTAGAGGAAAATTGTATCTTCCTTCATCTGTAAGGGCTAAAGATAACAGCATTATTACTTCTCAATGGATATTATTTTCAAGACATTATATACAAAGCACACTGAAGCCAATATGTTGAGCTTCATGGGCTAGAAACATGATTCTAAATAACTATTATCAAATAGTGCTACAATTATGATGACTTCTGGGTAATTGTGAGGTGTGCTAGATCTGTGTCTTTGAAGCAAACAGTGCCAAAATGGCATGTTTTTGGAATCACTTTTCTCTTGGTAAAAAGAGTTTGCTGCTATTGTTATTTTGTTTTATTTCTTCACTAATAGAATCATCCTTCTGATTTGTTGCTTCTAAACAACTGGTTGCTGAAAAAAACCCCATTATTAAAACCATTAAAATACTGTCTAAAATATGAGTTAATAAACTCTCAACTTAAAACTTTAAAAAACCCAAAAAAATAAGATATATTTGTATGAAACAGGATAGTACTGTTCTGCTTTGTACCTTACTTTCATGAACATATTTTTAAAAATAGATTACTTGTGAATATTGTTGTTAAGTGCTGTAGAGTCAACTTTGACTGATGATCTCATGAACAATAGATCTAAATCTTGCCCTCTCCTGCACCTTCCTCATAATCACCCACATGTTTGACTCCACTGGTATAGTCCAAGTGTCAATTCACCTTGTTGAGAGTCTTCTTTTTTCCTGACCCAAGAAGTGTCTTTTTCTGAGGACTAGTTACTTCCGACAACATTCCCAAAGTGGGTGAGCCCAAGTTTCATCATCTTTGCCTCTAAGGAGCACCCTAGTTACACACCTTCAAGTTAGACTTGTTTGTTATTGTGGCAGTCCATGGGTTAGTCAATATTCTTTGCCAGCACCACAATTCAAAGCATCGATTCTACTTTAATTTTCTTTATTCATTGTCCAACTTTCAGATGTATAGGAAGCAACTGGCAATATCTTGGCTTGAATAAAGCACATGTTAGTCTTTAAACTGGATAGCCTTGCTCTTTAGAACTTCAGAGAGGTCCTTGATAGCAGATTTGTTTTGATTTCTCGACTGCTGTTACTGTGTTAGGTGTTGACTGTGGATTCAATTAGCTGATGGCATCAATATTTTCTTCATCTATCACAATGCTACCTATTTGTCCAGTAGTGAAGGTTTTGCAACTACTTGATATTGATGTAACCCATGTTGAAGGCTGAAGTCTTTATCCTTCTTCAGTAAGCTCCTCAACTCTTTTTCATTTTTAGGAAGCAAGGTTGTACCATCTGCATAACACAAGTTATTACTGAGTCTTCCTCCAATCCTAATGCTTCATTCTTTTTCATATAATCAAGCTTCTTGAATGATTTGTGCGGTACACAGATTAAACAGGTATGGAGAGAAGATGCAATTGTAATTGTGTATACACCTTTCTTGATTTTAAGCCATGCAGTATTCCTTTGTTCTATTCAAACAACTGTGTCTTGGCCTATGTATATGTTTCACACAAATACAACTCCGGATTTCCATTATTCTCAATGTTTTCTAGAATTTGTTATGTTTTCTATATCATCATTGAAAGCTTCAATCCTTCCTACATCTATCATAAAGTTGATTGTTGGTCCTGTGATGAGGATCTATGTTTTCTTGATATTGAGATGTACTCCATATCAAAGGTCCTTGGTCTTCTAATAATATACATTTAAAGATTAAGATGAGTCTAATCCAAGCCACATCACCAAATACCTTTGCATAGTCAATGAAACACAGATAGACGTTTATCTGGTACTCATTGCTTTCTACCAAGATTCATCTGACATTGGTAATAATGTCTCTAATGCCATGGCCTCTTCTAAATCCAACTTGTATTTCTAGTAGTTCTCTGTCAATATACTGTTCAGTCATTTCTCGATAACCTTCAGCAGGGTTTTGCTAGCATGTTATATTAGTGATATTGTTTGATAATTTCCACACTGGGTCGATCACCATTTTTTGAATGAGAATAAATATAGATCTTTTCGATCTGCTGTCACGGACCTCTCCAGAGTACTGAAAAGCAACCATGTCAGTCAAGAGACTAAAGTGTGCCTAATTCTGATCGTGGTCTTTACAATTACTTGCTATGCATCACAGAGCTACATAATAACTAAAAATGACAGAAGAAGAATCAATGCCTTTGAGTTGTGGTGCTGGAGAAGAGTCTTGAATATACCATGGACTGCCAAGAAAACAAATAGGTCTGTCTTGGAGAATATAAAACCAATTTTATCGTTGGAGGCTAAAATTTTGAAGGTCTGTCTCACATACATTGGGCACATGGCCAGGAGGAACCAGTTCTTGGAGAAGGACCTCCTGCTTGAAAGGGAGGAGAAACAGCACAG